GTGACCAACACAGAGCGAGGGAGGAGGATGGACTAGCAGCGAGGTCTTTGTTACAGGCCTGCATGAGCCACGCAGCTTGCTCGTGGCTGTGTCCTCAGTACCTAGAACAGCACGGGCACACAGTAGTCCTTGATAAAAATTTGCTAGATGTATGAATGAGTGACTGAATGAATGACATCATGATGGTGAAGGTTGTTCAACTCAGGATCAGATACCAGCTGGGGGCAACCCACCTGTGGTCTGGAGTTGGCAGAGGGGCTTTTCTTTTCAATCCCCTAGAAGGAGCCTGCACCAAATTAACAATTTTCCTCTATTGAGAGGCTCACCCTCTATTTTACACTTAAAACATCAGCAGGGACCCCAGAAAGGACCTCTGATTATCTCAGCTGTTCTGTACCTAAGTTAGATTTAGGAAATGACTCCACATTGTGGAATCAAAGACAGATGCTTCATTAGAAACTCTGCATTGGTGCCTGCCCGCTGCTTCTCAGCCAGGCTGCCCTGTGGGTGCTACAGAGTCCCCCCGGCCCCCGCCACCCCAGTCTGTGCTTGAGGGCCTGCCTGGAATAAAAACAAAATGCATGGTATCTCTCCAAAGAGAAATGTGAATGATAAACAAGCATGAAAATTTCAACCTCTCTGGAAATGATGAAAACGTAAATTAGACATAACCACATGCCATTTCCACAGTGACATTATTATTATAGCCACTGCTGTCCGAAGGGAAAGGAAATGACCCCCACTTACAGTCCCTGGGATATAAATTGTGCAAGCCTTCCAACAGTGTAAATTGGAAATAGGTAACAAAAAGCTTAAAAATGGATGAAATTTTTGACCTGGTACTTCCACTTCTAGGAATTTATTCTAAAATGTCACCATAGTTGTATACAAATTCCTACCTAAAAGGACACTTAGAAGAGTGGCACTTATTACACTGATTCATGGAAACAGCTTAAATGACCCACAAAAGAGAACTAGCAAAATAAAAATGGAATATCCATTTAATGGAATACCTACAGAGATACATAACATGATACAGAAAACAGGTCAGCAAACTTTTTCTGTAAAGCACCAGATAGTAAATACTTTAAACTTTACCAGCCCTATGGTCTGTCCCAACCACCCAACCCTGCCCTTGTGGCACAAAGGCAGCCATAGACAGTATGCGAAAAAATGGGTGTGTCTTTGTTCCAATAAAACTTTATTTATAAAAACACATGGTGGGCCAGATTGAATCCCTGGACCATAGTTTGCCAGCTCCTGAAAAAATTTATTTAATGCCTTAGGAATATGAACATGATATTGTTAAGTTTTTTAAAAAAGCTTCAAAACGGTACAAAAAAGAAATATGAACATGATATTGTTAAGTTTTTTTTAAAAGCTTCAAAACGGTTAATTTTTTTAAAAAAGCTTCATGTCACTCAAAAAGGGAAATATAAATGTATGAGTAGAAAAGGCAAGCGATCTAGTAACAAAGTGCTAATAGGGTTATCTCTAAGGAAGGGTGTGATTGTGGGTAATGTTTTTTTTCCTTTTTGTCTTTTTTTCGTGACCGGTAACGGGATCGCAACCCTCGGTGTCGCGCCTGCACTGCGCTCAACCAGTGAGCGGACCGGTCTCTATATGGGATCCGAACCCTCAGCGGGAGCGCCACCACGCTCCCAAGCACCGCACTCTACCGAGTGTGCCACCGGGCCAGCCCAATTTTTAACAATCTTTTGGTTAACTGTATTTTCTAAATTTCTATAAAGAACAATACATTGCTTTATTTTTTTTTTTTAAGTTTTAAAAAGTTTTTTTCCTTCCCACTACCAGGAGTTAATCATAAGGAAATCATCTAAAATTAGGAAGAAATATCACAGCACTGTTCATGTACAGATTACTTACATTACAAATACATTAGAAACAATCATACGTCAAATGGTGATCAAACCAGTTATGTACATTACACGTCTGCCTGGTAAACGCTGTGATGCCCTGAACACAGATATTTATAGAAACCAAACAGCACGTGGAAACTGTCTGTGCCTGTACTGTGCGGGAAACCACACTCATAGGCAAGCACGGGAAGAAAATATATGCAGACATAAAAACCAGGTAAGTTTTGGGGGTGAGGTGATTACAGGGGATTTTTTTTCTTTCATTTGTATTTATGCTAATTTTTGAGCCATATTTTTAAATTGTGTCTCTTTGCACTTAGGTGAAACCTCTCTCCCACCTCCCCTCATTTCCATATCTCCTCCATGTCAGTTGCCCAGGTGTTCTAAAAGGAATCGTTAGGGTAGCCCCCACTCCAAGTTTTCTGTAACCTTACCCAGGGTTGAGAAGGAACACTCTGTTCCTTTCCAGGGGTCAGTATTCCAAGTGCATCCAAGCCCTGACTTCTGGGACCAGCAAGCCCACAGCTCACTTTGACCAGTCCTGATAAGCTCTTGCCACAAAGTTCCTGGCTGGATAGCATGCATGGAGTCCACTGCTTTTACTGCACAGTTGTGACTTATTCACGAAACCAGCTTTCCTTCCTCTAGCTGCTAGTAACAACTCTGTCATCTACTGATGAATTTTAATCTAGGCATCTAGTACCCGTGGTGACGTTCAGTTATTTTAAATTTTCTGAAAGGACTGGTGGTCATTGCTTCTCAGGACTTCCTGGAGGGCTCAGAGATTTCCCCTCTGGGTTTGACCCCCTCCAGGATTGACTGGGGCAACTGCACAGCCCCAATCTCTAAAAACCTCCAACTAGAGAGTAAAACACCTGCCTGCAGGGAGTTAGCAAGGAGCTGGGCAAAATGATTCCCTGTTGAAAGCCCCTTTTCTCTGGGATTCTGCATATCTAAGGAGGTTCAGATGTGCAGCCCAGGAGTGTAAGGACATTTGGGGAGATATATTCCACCACAGGGACACTCAGCCACATTTGTCATCCAGACAAGGAGCAGGGTCAGAAATCACAGGATCCCACCTGGTTTCACCCACCTGGCGCAACAGTACTTATTTTCAAATCATCAAGGCCAAACAGCGATCGGAAGGAGAAGGGGGCTTCAGCCGCAGGTGGGTCATTTTCCCCCATGGTGACGATTTCAGGACCTCTGAGATCTGGCTCCACCTCCACCTCCACCTCCACCTCCTTAGCCGAGAAAGAACATAAAGCATTTGTTTCCCTATTTATAGTTTTAGCATCAGGTGTGTCTTTGTCATAGCTTAAATCTTTGAAATCCGACAATCCACATGAAGTACCTTCAGTACTGACTAATCAAAAACACCTATCTAGTGAGAAGGCATTCTCTTCTGAACCTAGCAGATAACAGAAAACTTCTACAGTTAGTGAAAAAGTATAAGCATAATTCCACGAAGATAATGACTTTCCTGTTGTTTGTTCAACCGTCGTCAAGTCAGTTGAACAGGACACGTTTAGAAATAGGCCCCTCTACCATTAAGAAGTCATGGCATCATTATTTTTCGGAATATAAATTACTTTCAAAGTGCTTTCGATCTCTCTTTTGAGATTGTTTTTCATCTGCCCCACGTAAATGCAATTCTTTGCCTACACACGTGGTACACCTACCATAAGCATAAGAAGTTTTAATACTTACATAAGTCCGTGTCCCCCAAAATGTAGATGGCACCAGGGGAGGGATGCTCAGCCACAATATGAGTAACTTCCCCTAAACACAGCCCTTTCCTGGCTCACACAGGCATGACCTAATTAAGGATGAAAGTATCCCAGCCCTTGGGTGCCCAGTCCTCCCCCGACATAGCAAAGTGGGGAGTGGCTGGGGGCAGCAGGCTCGCACCAACGCAACACTAGGGCTCTGTCTCCTACGAGAATTCCACCTGTCACAACACCACGGAGGCAGAGGCCTCTCACAGTCATTCCGTGCAGGAGGGCGGAGGGAGCAAGAGACGGCAGAATGTTCCCAATTAAATTCCAATTCACTCTCCCAGGTTTCAGGCACGCGTCTCTAGGAACCTGCTTTCCCCGAGTGCTCAAATCGACAAAGGCTCCCACAAGCATATAAACAGAGATACCAGAATCTCCCATTTTAATTTTCTTTCTGGCTACCTGTTGCAATGTTTGAAATTCCGAAGGGAACTATGAAGGCATTTAAAACGAACTTAGTTTCACATGGTCATAGTAAAATCTAAGCAAGAGTTATATGCTAAAAATGTTTATTTCT